CGAGCGAGAGAAATCAGGAGAGGAAGAGCCCTGTGGAGAGGCGTTGGAGGAGCACCAGGTGGCGCTGCGTCCCTGCACTCCACCTTGCTCACCCTAAATGCCAAGGCTGGAGTTTGCCCCAACTTCCCCCGGGTGCAACAACACCCGGACCGAGGGGCACCCGCTTGTATAGGCATGCACAACTGTGCAGGCATTTGTAGGCAAGCGCTGTTGTGCACCTGATACAGTACTTGTGTGCGCACCGCCTGAGGACGTTTGAAGGCTCCAGCTGGCCGTGGGCATCTCCACGACGGCCTGCGGATGTGCGCAGAAAAGCGCGCGTGTCTGTTAGCGTGCGCAGCACACTGCCCACGTGCATCTAAGATTTGGCTCCAGGGTCTGCAGTGGAAAGACTGGGGAGGGGTTGTACACTCCGCATCCATCTGAGAGCTTTTTGGGAGCCTATCCCCTCACCCCCGCACGTTCTTTGCCAGCTCCCACGCGCTGGCCGGCTTGGGGGGTGGGGGGTGGCGCACCTACTCTCCAGAATTTTGTATCTCACATGGCGTGAGAGACTGTGTGCACGCTTGGTTGTGTGCACCCGTCTGTAGGGGGCGGGTCCTGTGGCGGCTTGCCGTAGAGCGGAAAGCCAGTTCATGGCCTCACCCAGCAAGGTGGGGAGGTCGGGGGCCTCAAGTTCTCCCAGGCAGCTGAGAACCTGGAGTCACAGAGAGCATCCTCACTTTCAAGCGCTTGGGGTGTATCCTGCAGGGGAGGAGCTGGATCTGCAGCCGGTGGGTGCCACTAGTGGAGCAAGATCTGTGGCGCACTGGGCGAGCTCCCAGGGGGTGGGGTCAGTTAACCATCTAGGCCCTGGACAGATTCAGGCTGCCGCATGCAGGCACCGCCTCTCACGCTGGGGCTGTTTCAGAGTTCGCTATGCGCGTGAGCAGGGGGCGGGGTCGATAACTTGGTCCAAGCACCTGCCGAAGAAGAGGGTTGGAGCCGGCTTGGTCTGGGCATCTGCTTGTGGGTGGTGGTGGGGTTCATGGCTCTCTGGGCGCTCAGGAGCTGTGGTCGGCATCAAATTTGGGGAATCTTGTGTGGAATTTGGACCCAGTTGGGACTGGGGGAAGTTGCTGGAGACAAGAGAGGAGAAGGCAGGATGCCAGGATGGGCTTGGGGACAGGGATGGAGAAATAGCTTGGATTGGAGTGGTAGATGGAGATGGACGTGGGACGAGGGATGTGGATGGCATCAGCGATGAGGACTCCAGTGAGTGGCCAAAGCAGCCAGTACTGGGGCCTTGTTTCACACTTGGCTTCTAGAGCAGGTGCCGGGGCAGTCATTCCTGTCACCTCGGCCCCTCACTTACTGCCACCCTGCCTCTCACTCTCCTCCACCTCACAGGGACCCTAAGTGGCGACCATGGGCAAACCGGGCTACTGGACCTTGGTGGTACTGCCGGCCTTTCTGGTCTGGTGCGGTCCAGCGCAGGACGCGGCGGCGGAGAAGGGTCCCCCAGCGCTGAATATTGCGGTGCTGCTGGGCCACAGCCACGATGTGACAGAGCGCGAACTTCGAAATCTGTGGGGACCGGAGCAGGCAACCGGCTTGCCCATGGACGTGAACGTGGTGGCGTTGTTGATGAACCGCACCGACCCCAAGAGCCTCATCACGCATGTGTGCGACCTCATGTCTGGGGCGCGCATCCATGGCCTCGTGTTTGGAGATGACACCGACCAGGAGGCTGTGGCTCAGATGCTGGATTTTATCTCCTCACAGACTTTCATCCCCATCTTGGGCATTCACGGAGGTGCATCTATGATCATGGCTGACAAGGTAAGCCCGGGAAGAGATCGTCTGCCAGGGTCCTGGAGGGGCGGATTCTACAAATGGCAGCCACCACGGGGGCTCAGGGAGCCCCTAGCAGCTGTTGGATATGAAAGCAGTTAAGTGGCCTCTGGCCTGAGAATCGCGCTGTGTGTCTCTGACTCAGACATGAATGGAACACCCTTTGCTTTTGGTTCTGAAGATGGGTTACACAGATGCACCTTGGTGTGCCAGGATGAGTACAGAAAATACAAAATTAGGATGGGGAATGTCGATGGAATGTTTGGAGAATTTCAAGTAGCTCAGAGTCAAGCGTGGGAGCACTTGGTCAATATGGCTATATTCCTACAGTGTCAGTTTTTGCCAGAATCTCCATTTTCTTTCTTTTGGTAAAGTGATTAAAACTACTTAAAAGATACTAAGGATGGGTATGTGAGGTTTTTAGAAAACGCAAAAGGGGACAGATTCGTGCTTGCCTAGGCTTACAGGAATGGAGGTGGGAGCCTGAGAACAGCAAGGCTAGAGGCATGTGGGGGAGCTCTGCTTACAGGGAAGTAACTCCAGGCCCAAAGTGTTGGAGTTCGTGGAGGTTTCCTTAGGTAGCTCTCCTGTGAGCTGACAGCTTTACTACAGGGCTTCCAAAGATTCTCAAATGGAAGGCATTGGCTCTGGAAGATTGCCCTTGGTATAGAAGTTGAATTTCAGAAATGAAAGAAAATGTTTCTGACCTTCTGGGCTTTGGACCACAGTTCTTTGAACCGCTGGTTTGGAGAAGTATGGAGAGGCTTCAAGGTTGAATGGGATGTTGGAGAGCTTGTTAGGAATGATGCTGAAGACAAGAGAGGGAAGAAAGTTGGAAGGGAGAAATAAAACAAAAAGTGAGAAAAAGTGTTGTCTCTCCATGTAAGCCCCAGGAAAGCTGGGAAGGAAGGCCTAGGAGTACTTGTGTTCAGTGCCAGAAGCTGGAGACCTTCTTGGAGAGTATTTCTTAGGTAGCAGGAGGAGGAACCGGTGGATATTCATAATAGCACTTTTCCTTTTGCCTTTCTTGAAATGCTGCTGTGTTCATCAAATCAACTTCAGTTGTGCTCAGTGCATCCAGACAGCTCCTCTGGGGACTGTGTTAATTCTTCCTGGTCTCCTGGGCTGTGGCACATGCAGTGAAAACACACAACTGATGCAGTTTCTTACTGAACACTGATTTCAGATGGTCCTCTGTCTGACAGGATCTCTGTGAGGTGAGCATCTCCCAGCTACCTCTCGGTTTTGGAGGCCACTTCTCTGGTATAATGAAAGCAGGGGATGGCTGGAACTGCAAAGGGCCTTAGGATCACTAAAACACCCTGAAACTCTCAAAGTGCCTGAAGCATACGGCTGTTAAGAGACTTCAGCTAAAACACACAGTGGATGATGAAAATAGAATCCCATTTTTCTGGTCTCTGGCTGTGATCGTGAAAACCAAACCTAACCTTTAACATTATCATTCCTTATTTAAGAAGGACAGTCATTTGGTTTATTGCATAGGAGGCACCAAACCATGGGAGTGTTGGGGGGGGGAAGGCAGTAAATCAGCTTAGAGGGCTTGTTCAATCAAGAAGAGACCACCCTATTTAGTAGAGGGCACAGGGGATTAGATTGTGAAATCTATTACCATTGGCCTTCCCTTTTAAAATTTTTGATTATAGAAGCAATGCATAAAAATGAAAAGGTACAACAGGGCATGTACAGAAAAAAAATAGGTAAGAAGGCACATGCCTTTGATGCCAGTATTCAGGAGACAGATCTCTTTGAGTTCCAGGCTAGTCAGGACTACATGGTGAGAATCATCAGAGAAATCTGCTACCAGGTGACCTGGGAACGTGGTTTGAGGGTGGGAAGGTTGTGTAGCTTTCTGACTTTTTCTTCTATGAGCTGGCAAGTGTGTGGGGCAGGCTCTCCCTCATCCAGTACAGAGGACTTGGATGTGAGCACTCCTTGGTATACTATGACCTTGACCACCAAGGAACCTTGATCCATAAAATGGTGGTCTCTGACTAGGTAGTTCAGCCACTGTGCCTCACTTGAAAGGGAGTTTTGAGAAGTCAGAGGAATGGGTGAATGCATTTTTTTCTTCCGGAGTGAAATTCCCTTTTGGAGATGTGGTTAAAAGTGCATTTAAGTGAACAGAAGCGTGTGTTTAAAAGTAAGGGAGAAAAAAGGACCCAGGAGATGGTAAGAGGATGGTGTGATAGGACAATTCCAGAAAAGACAAGACTGGAGAGGGCTGGAAGAGCAAGAGAGAAGAGAGGACTGAGTGCCCATTATTCAAGCATACCATAGTGACTGGCTTCTCCTCATTGAATTGGGGCTATCCAGGGTTGCCCTAGGAGACATTTACTTTGTATCTGAAATGGGAGATGAGTCAAAATGGCCAGAAGTCACTGAAGTGGGCAGAGACACCACTGGGAATACATTGGGTCTCATGTCCAGGAGGGGCAGGTGATGTGGGGAGAAGTGGGCATGGAGGGTGTTGTTTAGAGAAACTTGTGTTTTAAAAGGAAAGGAGCTGTCTGAAATGCAAACAGCCTTTCCTTCATTAGGAATGCATATGTTTGGCTTGTCTCCTTACCACCTGTTTGGGTTAGTGCTTAACATTCAGTGGACTTTATTTAGCTTTATGGAACAAGTCATGGGATGTTGTCTAAGACTGCCTTGCTTAGGTATGCTGACAGTATTGTGACCAGAAAGCCTTGACCTCCCCAGTCTGACAAGACTCTATAAGGGGATTCCAGTTGGGAAATGTCATCCAGAACACACCTATGTTTTTTTTTTTTTTCTTCTGACTTGACAGTGTGATAATAGTTGATTATCAGCTAAAAGGAATATACACACATGCACATGTGCACACAGGAATTCACACACTTAGGCCTTCAGGCATACATCACTTTTGACCTTTTTCTCAGGCTGCTTGACCTCTGAACAAAGCTTTATGTCGGTGGCTCTCAACCTTCCTAATTCTTTGACCCTTTAACACAGTTCCTCATTGTGGTGACCCCCAACCACAAAATGATTTTCATAACTATAATTTTGCTATGGTTATAGACAATAATGTAAATTTATCTGTGTTTTCTGATGGTCTTTGGTGACCTCTGTGAAAGGATCATCTACCCCCAAAGGAGAGGAGACCATAGGTCGAGAACCATAGCTTTATACTGAGTGCAGTGGTGTCAAGTGGCAGGAATTTGGCGTGTTAATTTCATTTACTGTGATGGCGCTGATTTTGGCTGGTATTGGTGGGTGGTCTTGCAATAATGAAGTTGAAGGTGCATTAAGCTTGGTGTAGATGTAGCTCCCGCCTCATCTTGGCTTATCCAAGTGAAATAGACTCTGGCCGCACAGGAAACGCAGCAAGTTGATCAGACATTTACATCTCTGCTCACCATCCTTGAATTCCTCCTTTCTCTTGCCTCCCTGTAGGAAATGCTGGGTTCATATTTTACCTACGTCTGTCCATGCCAGTCACTGTATATTATTTGGTATGTTTATTTTTAATTATTTAAGTTACAAAAGGATTTATTTATTTTACTTTATGTGTGTGATTGTTTTGCTAGCATGCATGAATGTTCATCACATGGATGCCTATTGGATTTCCTGGAAGTAGTTGTGAGCCACCATGAGGGTGCTGGGAATAGAATCTGGGTCTTCTGAAACAGTAGCAAGTTCTCCTAACTGCTGAGCCGCCTCCTCAGCCCTTGTATGTTTATTTTAAATGTATGTGTGCAGCATGCGGAGGCCAGAGGAATCCTTCAGCATTGTCTCCCATGTGCCATCAGCTTCCTCGTCTTAGAATATAGGTCTTTGAGGGCAGATTTAGAAATACATTTATGTGTCTATGTGTTTTTTGAAATAATGAATTCTTCTTCATAGACACTATAAAAATAATGTCTTTTCATGTGGAACACTTAGAAAGTGCATTAAAGTTTAAGGAAGAAAATAAAAAGATTGCCATAAATTTTGTCAATGGGATTAACTGTGGCAACATGTCGATGTATTCCTTCTAAGAACAGTTTGTTGTGTTATAATTTCAGAATTATACTTTTTTTTAAAAATTGAGACAGGATTTCTCTTTGCAGTCTTGGCTGTCTTGGAACTAGCTCTGTAGACCAGGTTGGCCTTGAACTCACAGAGATCCACCTGCCTCTGCCTCTGGAGTGCTGGGATTAAAGGAGTGTACCATCACTGCCTGGTGAATTATACTATTTTATGCTTTTGGGATTTTGACCAGAAGACTTTAGTTCTGGAAAACTCTCTGGCATGTCTGCTGGGTACTTCCTCTCTTGTCTTCTTGATTATTTCCACGATCTTTAATTGTCCTTTCGTCATCGTGCACATATGTAACCCTATGCAGAGTTTCCTCAACCAAGCCTCCCTGTATGGTACTTATTTTTATATTTTCTTTGTGTACTTATTTTCATAGCAATTATATTTTAGTTTTAATTGAAATAAAATTATATCACTTCCTTTCCTCCCTCCAGCCCCTGCCAGTTACCTTCCCCCAAGCCCCTTCCATACTCTTCCTTAAATTGATAGTCACGTTTACTTTATCTTTGCTACAAACATATGCATACATAGAAGACATTGAGTGAATTTCTGTTGTTTGTGTGTAAATGGTTTCATGGCTGTCCACTCTCAATTGGACAACCAGTAAGGGGGCTCATCAGGGTCTCATGAACCCTGAGTAGCCTGAACCTTGTTATATAGTTCAATGATGAACTCAAACTTCAGATCCTCTTGCCTTTACCTACCAAGTGCTGAGATAAGCATTTGACACAATGTCCAGTTTATGCAGCACTGGGGATCAAACACAAAACTTGAGTGACAACTCCAGGCCCTAGTCTTAAAGAGTTTCTTGTGCCTTATATCTGTATAGGAGTGTGAGCTTTTATCTTTTATTTCCCCCTGAGGTGTTGGGGTCACTGGGCCTTATGTGTGGGAGCTCAGTGCTCTCCCACCAAGCTGCACCCCAGAAC